TGACTTGTGGTATCTCTTACTGGACATAGGGGTTAAGTTAAGAAGCACTGCAGCAGGTTTGTAAAAAATGAAGACATCCGTTACTTTGTGAAGGCCAAATATTGGGACAGTCCCAAAAGGTATGAAATATTGTACCAACCTGGCCTCCGCATTGCCAACGCGAATGGCTGGCTGTGTCCAGGAAACATGGGTGCTAAAACAGAGAGGGTCCTGTACTACCGTGATAGGATTTTATATGCAGTTTCTTGGTATTTGCTACAAAAGAAAGATTTGTATGCAAAGAAAAGTATATGGTTCTTCTGATCGTCTGTAAATGTGATATTCAGGTCCTTTTCCCATTTGGAAAGATATGGAGGATCCTGTTGGGATGATAAGTCAAGCACGATACTATATGAGGATAACAGTGATTTACAAATAGCCTGGGGCGAAATGTGGGTGGCTTATAATGGGCGTCGTTGTGTAAGGAAAACTGATTATATCTACTAATTTAAAATACCTGTTAAGTTCTAATAATATCAGTTCTATCAAAGAATGGGATTGATGGAGACGAGTGAGTTTAACTCCTGCCTAGGGAAGGCCAACTATGGGAAATGGTACTGATTCCTGTTCCAGAGAGATGCAAAGCTTGTAGAAGTGCCTGCACCAATCGATCATGTGTACCGCAGTACAGTATAAGGCAGGATCTAGGAGGCCTATTCTGCCTTTTAGTTTGGGTCTCTGTAGAAGAGTCCTTTTGGAGGCAAGATGATTTTCTCTGCCAGATGTATTTAATGAAGGCTGATCGGATTGTAATATTTTATTGGGTGAAACCTGCAGGAGATATAGAAGTTGTGACATGATGTTCATTTTAAGAACATTGCAGCTACCAGACCAGGAGATGGCTAAAGATTTCCATTTCTCCAGGTCTGATGACAAGGTAGATAGTAAAGGATGAAAGTTTAACTTAAAAATGCATTGGAGATTGGATGGGATTTTAGTGCCCAGATATTGAATGGGTTGTGGGGCCCGGTGAAATGGAAAATTACTAGAAAGGTTAGTGAGTGCCTGCAAGGTGAGGGTGACATTAAGTGCCTCCTGATTTTTTTGCATGTTTACTTTAAAATTGTCCATAGGTGCGGAGTTCTATTAAGTAAGACAGGTAATGAAATAATTGGGTCAGAGATATAAAAAAGCAGATCTCAGAGTATGCTGCGATTTTATGATGATACTTTTTGGTTTTCCAAACCTTTAATATTTGGGTTATTCTGGACATGCTGTAATAAGCTTTCCAATTAGAGAACAAATAAGAGCAGAGAAATGGGACAACCCTGTCTTGTGCCAATGCCAATGGCGAAAGGTTTAGAATAAAAACCATTCACTTTGACCATGGCAGTGGGAGTTGAATAGAGTCAGGAATGAGTCAGGAATGCCGATAGAGTCTCGAGTAGGAAAGTCCAATTTATACAGTCAAAAGCCTTTTCGGCATCAGTGGACGGAAGGATTAGTGGTGTCTTCTTCTTCTTATCAAAAGAGGAGTTTTTGCTGCAGTGTCTGAGTTTAAGGGGAAACCATGTTACCTGTCATAGAACACAGTGGCTGAAAGCCTAACCCTCACACGTCCATCTTTAATTTTCCTCAATCTGCAGCTACTTCTGCGCATTCCACTGAGAAGGATGAGGATTGTCTGTTCTTGACCTGGTACTGTCTCTTTCTACTGACATAGCTCCTAAACTTAAGGATACCATTTTGATCCTTATTGATGCATGAGTGCCGTGTCTATGGCGAGACCAGGTCATTAGTGATAGGAAAAAAGAAGGAAGGAAAGATAGGGAAAAGGAGAGATGCACAAAAATAGCAATCAAACAAATCAACCCCATATCCAAAAAAAAATAAAAATTATTCATTAAAACTTACCGACAATCTTGTATATATACTTACATATCATCAATGCCAAAGATAATTTGGCATTGGTGATTTGTAATTATATATAGAAGATTGTCGGTAATTTTTAAATAATTTTTTTTTGTTTGTGTGTATGTGCAAGAAACACATACAGTGTATGTCTTTTTCAAAATCCACAAGCCATTCCTCCTCATAATGAGGGGACTCCCTTTTTGTCAAAGTTGTCAGAGTAAAAGGAAGTCTGCTGGCCCTAGCATCCAATCAGGTCATCAGGTGCCATCAGGTTTAGAGTATTGTATACAGAGACTGCAAACTGAAATTTTAATCTCTTCCTCCACCCTCCTTCATGTTGTTAAACTGTACAACTCTCCCACAAAAAAATTGGGGGACTTACACACTGATGTAGCTCCTCTCTCACAGGTTCATAGTCATTGTCACTGAAAATAAGATGATGCAAGTTTTCCTATTCAAACCTAATCATTGTCCACATTCAGACTCTGCTGTCCAGGAGCCACCTGGCTTTTGCATGATGGTTTTGTGGCTGATGTTGGCCTTCTTCAAGGCAATTCAATGCAAGGCATGGTTTGCCGCTTCCCTGTTGAAGTGCACTTCACCATACTGGTTAGTGCTTCTTCGGCTTTGAAGAATCAGGCATCTATTTCTCATATTTGCAAGCCTGTCACCTGTTCATTAAGTTTTACCAGGTGGAAGTCCAGGCCTCCGCTGATGTTGGCTTTGGTTGTAAAGTTGTTCAAATGGTACTGTAATTTGTAGAGCCCTCTCTGGTAACCTGTTGGTTCCTGCTGGCCGGTTAGCTTTTGTTTTCTGTGTAGCCCACTCCTGTGTTGGATGTAACTGAGTACTTGTCACATATCCTGTAATATACGATTACGAAAATAGGATTTTTTACTTTTCTTGGAGTTCATTACAGAGCACAGCTCCGTCTTCTCTGTTTCTTATGACCCACTTCTACTACTGCTTGTTATAAAACTGAGAAATGGGAGGGATTCTACTAGGCTGTTCTTACAACTCATGTTTGCCAGTGACAATCTCCTACAGACAGCAGCATAGCCCTAGTACCTTAATACTTCAAATGTGTTCCATAATGTACTCAAAAAAAAAAGATTTTTACAGTAAGCCAAAAACTATTTTTTTCACCCCCTCCTGAATGTTACATTTGAGAGGAGATCTTTGCATGATCTATCTTCTATAATTTACACCAGAAGCCATTGCATTGGGACTGTTCATGTCCTGGCATCCATCCTAAGCTTAGGAATAAATTAAGGAAGCTTCTTGACTCAAAAAAAAGCAGCCCAGTAGGGATCACTGTTTCGTGGTTGTGGTTGGGAGGAGTAAATTTCTCTCTGATCTGGAGAGCTATGCTTGTGCATTTGAGTCCACCCTTGCAAGACAGGTCAAATGAGGAAAGGCCAGAATAAGAGAGGTCCACTGTTCCTTCAGGTTTTCATAGTTAGGACTGACAACATTAAGCTATAAATAATGAAATGGTTATAGAAATGATCAGTGATGTGATGATGCATTAGGAGAAGACGGGCAACTAACGACATGAGTCTTGCTTTAAATTTAGGCTACATAAGTAGGAGCAAAATAGGGTTAATCCAGTAAAAATCAGAGTATCAGTGTGCCACCTCCACAGTATCAAAGCCTTTACTTTTCAGATATTTCTATTCTCTTATAGTCAGTAGCTCCAGGGTGTTTCTCTTCTGCAGATTTCCATTTCCACATCATTTAAACCATGTTTCGCTTGAAAGTTGTAATTACATTGCAGAGCACTTGTTGACAAGTATTTCATAGAAACCCAGTGACCTGAAAGAAGGACCATTTGTCTGCATTCTCTACGTAGTGTAAAATAAGATGTCTTTTAATGCACCACAAATTGTCAGTAAATGTCTTTTAAAGCCATCTACTATTCATTGTAATTTATATTCCAAAGTTGTAGGAACTCATGCTGTGCAGAATGATTAAAGATGAGAGCTGCAAATCTATTATTTTTCATTCAAATTCATATCCCTGCAGTTAATATCTACCACAGTGTGTATACATTGTTACATGTATCAGACATAACCCCTGTTCCTCTGGTCTTCAGGCAACACCAGCCAGTTAGACAATCCACATGAACTCCCAATTTCCCATCAGCAGAGATAATGTGACCAAATGATAATTTCCAGCACAGTGAAAGAATTGTGATCTTTTACTGTTTAATGCTTGACAATAATACCCTGAGTATTGGACCATATTATCCCTTGCACACCGTCAGTATAGTCAGGTCTGCCTGACAGTTTTTAGGCAGATCTGATCGGAAGCTCCATGTAAGTCTTTGGGCAGGTGGGTGTAAATAAATATGTGTCTGTTCACATGAAACTACTTCTGAGACTGTCCAGTAAAACAAAATAGAAGGGGTCTGTGGCCTTTTCAGTTTTTTTCCTGGACCTAAATGTGATGGATCAGAGTCATTCTGATGTAAATGGAGGCAAATCTGTTTTCATTTGGGTCACGAGTCCAATATGGGTCTGCAACTCTCCAGTTTGTGAATGCATAAAAAAATGGCGCTGACGGTATGATGTGTGAAGGTAGAATTACCACCCTCCTTGTCGCCAAATGTTTCTAAACCTCATTCTCCCCTGCTTTCACCACCACACCTACAGCTCCCTATACTCTCACAGCCCCAACATTGCCGTTCTGAAACACGCATACTTTTGCTAATATAAGATATATGATTTATATAAATAGCATAACATTCTAAACTTTTACCAGACACAAAAAAGCATGAATGTAAAACTGCCTTACATATAGAAATAAACAGATATGGTGATGAAGCAAGGATTCATTTTACTTTCTTTATTTTAGCACCACTAACAATGAGACATTACTACAGTAAAACTTTGAGGTGTAACATGCACGTTTGCCACCTTAGAAAGTTGCTCCCAAAATACATATTTTTTTATGTCAACAGTGATGAAAGTTAACAATGTTCCTTTAAAGAAAATCCCTGATTGGTTGTGATGAGAAACTCCTCTTTGTACATTGCCTTTGACCTTGTAGAGCCTTTGAGTTATTTCTCTACATTTGTCAAAACCAACTCTGTGCTTACCTTGTAGGCCCTGGGATCCTGTCAGAAAGCCTGGAACCAGTTTACGATAGCATTGGATATTAATCCACAGAGCTTGCTAGGATTTGAAGGCCGTGCGATTGTGAACTTACAGATGGGGGACACATTTGCTGCCCTGCAAGACATGAATGCTGCAATAAAGGTATATTCAGTTGTCCTTTTGTCATTTGCTTAATTTGTTGTTTTATATTGTTAGGTGTATTTATATATAGTATATAGTATGTATAGCCAAAACAATTTTTGTTTTGAACAGAGCTGGGAAGAATTAGAAACCCTGTCAAGATTTTGTTGCTGTCTATGTCCTTATTAGATAGGTTTACTCTCTGACAATGGTCACTAGGAAAAATTCAGATGGTGAGTGTAGCTAGTGGAGACATTGACACCAAAAAAAAAAAACCTGTCTGGTGAATTTCCAAGTTTTATGCAGGCCAAACATGGGTTGAATTCCAAACAGATTTTCTTTAGAAAATCAGAAATTTCTTGCATTTTGTAATCCGATGGTGCCACCATTGAGTTTCGAAATTTGACCAACCAAGCCTTTCATTTCAGTTCATGTTGCTAAAGAAAAAAATTTTCATGGTCAAGAAGTTTCTTTTCTTTCCAGGTCACAGCTCATGCGCATTTCTTCTTCGATTACATTTCTGGCATGATTCTCCCATCATTGATTAGAAATTTTTTTTGAAAGAAATTTCCAACATTCCCGATCACTTAAATTTGATAGGCGCTCGAAAATTGGCCATTGCTGTGGCCCACTAATAGTGCAAAATTCTAAGAAAAGATTTTCGAAAGAATTCAACCCATACATGGCCAGCATTAAGGCCTCATTCACATGGCTGCCCAAGGCCACACACCTGTCAGATCAGCCTATTTCTGCAGTGAAGATAACCAGGTTTTTGCAATCCACTGCAGCAGATTGCAAACACCTGTCTGAACCCACTGCAGAAATATGCTGAGTGGTGTATGGCCCTGGACAGCAGTGTGAATGGGGCCTATAGTGTATGTATAACCAGAACGTTTTCTTTTTTTTTTTTTTTTGATAGAGTAGAACTCTTGATAGGTGTAGAACTTTTGTCAAATGTTTATTGATGTCTGTTGTTCAGTTAGGTAGATATCTGCATTTACCCTGGACAGGGGAAGGACTTGTTCTGGTAGCAAATGTCTAAGATGGAATTCCCTTCATTTGTAGGGATTTTCTGTCACTGTTGCATCTTCAGGACAGAAAGTGAGGAGATATATCCATAATGGATCCATAATGGATCACAGTGGACAAGCCATTTTTTCTTTTTTACAAATATGAAAATGTATTGATAAAGCAAGGTGCCAGCAATTTACAAATAGAGCCAACGTGAGCAACGCAGCGTACATACAACCAAAAAAGCCATAGACATAGCTATAGAAAGGAGCATCAGAGAGTAAGACATAAATTTCATATCCATTTAGAAGGAATTAAGCCATTCAAAGCCCTTTTTTTGGTGAAATGCGTTAATGATAGGTGACCTCTGAGCAGGGAGATTGTTACCAGCTGTACAAAAGATAATTCAATAGAAAGGATTTTGGAGTACAAGATGTTGCTGTGCGGCTCTTCATTCATCAATGCTTATGCGATCTGATTGGAATAAATTGAAAAATGATTGGCTGTCACAGGTTACTGCAAATCATGATTGAACTTTTTCATGGCCATACTGAATGAAGCCAACAATCCAAGAAAGAGAAGGCAGATTTACAGTATTATTCATTATGAAGAGTGTATACTTTACAAGGGTCACCTTTTCCATAGATATGCTCCAGCAAAGGATGGAAATACAATGAAATGTCATGGGCGTTAGGCCACATTAACAATGCTGTGATGCTACTGCAAATTGTTAGGTGTCAAATTGTAATTGTTAATTAGTTTGGTCTATAATTTTGTTGAAGGTCATTTGTGCCTGTTACACTGCACATTGCAACACTGTAGTTTCATTAATATGATGTTTTGACATCAAGCCTGTAGGGTATACAGTTATTGTATTTAGCCTCCCTAGCAGTCTGATTATGCCAGTATTTCTGTTCTCAAAGCGGTAAATTTTTTTGCGTGGAAATATGTAGTTTTTTTTACTGTAGGCCTGTAATTTTTAGGAATAACTCCCTGAAATCTGTCCGAACAAGAGTCTAGTAAACATCCCGGGTATGATAAAATTTGAAACACGAAATCATAAATTATAATTTATTAAATAATCATAAAAAAATAATTATATAATAATGAATTTAATTTAATAATATAATCAAACCAAAAACACTGAAATTTGAAATATGGCGCCATGTTCGCACATCACTGAGTAAAGTCGCAAAATCGTTTTCAGTGTCTGATGACGAATTTCCCCACGAATCATTATCACTCAATTCTGCAAGTAATTCTAATTTACTATCGCTGTTCTCTAGCTGGTCTAAAACCGCTTTTGACCTAAAGGGACGCTTTTTGGACGCCATGGACATTTCTCAGTTTCATGGCAGAAAGAACAGTAAAAATGCAGGCAGGGCACAGGACAAAGCACTAGGGATAAAATGTATGTGAAATGGTTTGATACAATAATGTAATACTATGTGATTTTAGTGTATTTAGTGAATGTCACTTTTTCACATTTTCAAATGTCCCGCCGTTCCGTCCCCGTACGTCCTGACGTCGCAGGGAACGGAACCCGGAAGACAGATGCCGGCCGGAGGACATTGCAGGGGACACTGCAGGGGGGACATTGCGGGAGTGAAGGACAAGGTAAGTGCAGAAGAAATCCCGGAGCAGCACTGCAGGGTATTCCCGAGTGTAGCTCGGGGTTACCGCTTGTGGTGCTGAAACTTTACCCAGAGCTACACTCGGGAATACCTCCAGGGAGGTTAAAGATGAACTCCATCCAGTAAGTTCTTATATTCCCCCCGCCCCCCCCGTACTATACAGAATTCCTTGTAAAAAACATTTTATCTGATTCCCAGAACAGCAGTGACAGGCTAGCCAAGGCTGTTTAGGGAAACTAGAACAGGGGTTCTTAACTGGCAGTACCTATACCTCTTGGGAAAACGGCAACCAAATAATAGGGTATTGGACTGGATCTTTAAAAAATTAAAGTGTTTGTAAACCTTAGACATGGAATATGAACAAAGCATATCCCTCTATAATGTGTACATAGCAATGATCCCCGGACCAATTTGAGCCACGATCCGCTGTGTCCGAGCCCGTGCCCTCCTTAGCCTGAGCAGGCAAAATTATGTACATGTGCATTTTTCTGCTTGCACGTGCCACCCCACCGCGGTATATGCACTGTGGTGGGTCGGAAAGTGGTTAAGGGGGGCATTCTTTCAACAAACCACCAATGACAGGGGCAGTTTACCCACTGACCACTAAGTAATTGGTTTTAGCAGGTGTTCCCGAGACCTAAAAATAATTTTGTGGGTTGCATTGGGGTAAAAAGGTAAAGAAGGGCTAATCTGGGGCATCACAGTGATCTGTATTTGGTGCTGGGAGGCAGTCCTGGTAATATTTCTTCAGAAGTTTTAGGCAATGTGAAAATGCTATCTGGCATATTTGAAAAAGCACGGAAGGGCAAGGAAAGCGCAGGCTTTGTGCATAATGGGGTTTATTAGATAAAGGTAAATGGGCTGTTCACTTTGCAATGGAATTTTCCCAAGAACATAGTGAATGAGGTGGCTTCCATCAGCCAATCATGTACAAGAAAAATGCTGTTGTTTTATTTTCTTTGATTGTGATTGTATATTCTTTGCAAAGTGAAATTTCATCACATTTACTAAGCTCTGGGGAAAGTTCACTTGCAAAGTGTAACAGCCTATTTGCCTTTAGTATATCCATCCCAATATGTATTACTTATTTTGATCTCTTATGTTTTCACATGCTTTTATGCTCACTGTTCCCAGGGGAACTGTAAAACAGCAGTTTCTACAGAATGTTCTAATAAGAGCATTTATGTTCAAAAACAATTGCAATTTAGGCACAGCTGCATCAAATTTTCACCATTTACTATACAATAAGAACAAAATCAAACACACTGGTACACTTCTGGAAACCTTTTTTTTTCTTGCAAAACTTTTTGTACATTTTAAATGACCCCTATTATACTGCTGATGTGTTGGATTTTGAGCTAGCATTAATCTACTTTGTAACTTAGTCCAATTTCAGTACACTGAGGATGATGTTTCACCTTTGAAGCCATCCTTAGAAAATAGAGTGTGACAAATGTGTCATAGAAATGAATTAAAATAACCTCACAGTAATATCATTTATAAGAGAAAATATTTTTGTTCAAGGTGAATTGCTTGGGGCAGAGCCAAAAGTCACATGCATATAATAATCCTTTAAATTGTGTTTAAAATTTATACAGTGAAATCTTTCAAGCAGTAATGACATTTCTACAATGCTAAGAAGTAAAATTGATCAAACTGCATAAGTTCTTATAACACTCTAGAAGAGTCTCTGCAAAAGATCATATGTATTGGGTTATTCTGAAGTTTGAACATTAATGCAGAACAAAACCCTCCTATCCTTTACAACCAAAGAAGATGCCATCTTAACCTACAGTGGGTATAGAAAAGAATCACCCCCTTTATAATAATCACATTTTGTTGGCCGAGAGGCAATCAGATATTCCCTGGATCAACTTTACCTATAAATGTTAGTATCCAGTTATATTATGTGTATCTAGGAAAGAATCCAGGCCTTTTTTTAAAGCAATCTATTGAGCTGGCCAGAACCAACTCTTGAGGGAGTCTATTCCACAGTTTCACAGCCACTGTGAAGAAATCTTTCCATATTTGAAGATTAAATCTCTTTTCCTCCAGATGTAAAGAGTGCCCCCTTGTCCTCTGTGATGACCTCAGGGTGAATAACTCTACACCGAGTTCACTATATGAATCATTGATGTATTTATACTGCACATGTTGATCATATCCCCCCTAATCTCCTCTTCTCAAGAGAGAATAAATTCAGTTCCTCTAATCATTCCTCATAGCTGAGCTCCTCCTTGCCACTTATCAGTTTGGTTGCCCTTCTCTTTCCTTCTCTGAAAGATATAACGCCAACATGTTGGAAAAGAAATGAAAAAAAAAATCAGAATCACCGAGTTGGAAAAAGGGATCACCCCCTCCTAAAAATGACTAAACTTAATCAGGTGTAGCCAATCACCTTCTCAATGGCACACAAAGCCACCTGACTTTCAGCTGTGATCAGTTGTGGTCTTTTTCATTAGCTCAGCATAAAAATAGCTTTCCTGAAGCATTTCAGTCCCTGGTAGTGCAACTGAAGTAAACGATCAATTATGAGTGGCAAGGCACTGTCAGACGATCTCTGGGATAAATTGTGGACAGGCACAATCAGGAGATGGATACAATACATTTTGAAGGCTTTATCAATGCCTAGTGCCAGTGAAGTCTATTATTAAGAAGTGGAAGGTATTTTGTACAACACAGACCCTCCCTGGATCAGGACATTGCTCCAAACTGGATGAAAGCGCCAGGATGAAACTGGTCAGAGAGGTTTCTAAGAGGCCTACAGCAACTCTGAAGCAATTGCAGGAATTTATGACAAAGAGTGGTCATTGTGTCCATGTGACAACAATATCATAAATTCTCTGCAAATGTGGCTTGCATGAGAGGACTGCAAGAAAAAAAACACTCCTTAAGAAAGGCCACATGCAGTCAGGTCTGAGTTTTGCCAAAATGCACCTGGAAAGGCCACATGGAAAAGGGTGTTATGGTCAAATGAGACTAAAATTGAATTTTCTCTTACCTTCATTGCGGGCACAGCTCTTTTATTCTTGACCATAGGGTTATATCGCCACCTACGGGAGTAGGACACTAGGCAGAAAAAAGAACTCAGCATGGCCTATGGGCAGTCATAGCTGGTATAAACCCCCTCTCTGCTATAGCAATCCAGTCATCTCTGCCTGGTGTTTCCGAAGTAAGGACCTGGCTTCTGGACCTTTTAGTTCCTTAGTTTCCTTTTTTCTTTCTCCCTTTTTTAGGATTTTTGCCTGTGGAGATCTTCAATCAACAGCCGAGCCGGGCTGGATAATCTAGATCCAGTGGTCAACCCAGTCTGGCAAAGAAGCACATGCAGACCTTTAGCCAAGCGCTGGGTTGGCTGAGACAATGTTCCATCTTGGACCAGGTGGCCAGCAAGTTAAATGTCTCGCGGGGACACATATGACCAGGCGCCTGAGTCCGTGTAACAGTGTTACCCTGGCTGATAGCCCCCCCCACTGTGTTGAAGATGAGGCTGTGTATCGGGAGTGCAGTAAGTAGCAAGTCCACTCCCTTCCCTCCCTGGATGCGGTGTAGGGCTCAGCTGCTCCCTGGAGTGGTCCATCCCTGTGGGTTATCTTCCTCCCATCCTACAGGCCTTGGCCTCATGCTACTCCTGCAGGGAAGTGTGCTCATCCCTAACCAGCCTGTGTTGACTGTGGGCATCTGCTTTTAGTTTTGGTCTCTTCTGCCCGCATTCTGTTCCTTAGAGCTGGATTGGTGGTGCTGTAATGCTGATGGGCAGAGTAGTGGGTGGTCAAATACTGGGATCATGCCACCATTTTCACTGAGAGTGCTTGGCTGTTCTGTCATGCTATGAGCAGTGTGAGGGAGCTACACCACAGACAGCATAAGGGCCAGAGTTGGCACTGTCACCCCCCCCCCCCCCGGCTGCGAAATTGTGATGCCAGTCCAGAGCTGAAGAAGCTCAATGCCATGGCCAGAGTTCTGCTGTGACCGGCCAGGGCAGCTGCAGGTGGTGGATGGCACTGGACCAACCACATGTCCACTGCATACTTTATCCTTGCTCACCAACATACTAATGTCCTGGGAGTGGGCCAGTGGGGCTGAAGCCTGAGAGCAACTCTCACCCTGCCAGTCATTTCACTGCCTATGCCTATTGTTCCCAATACTCTCCCCACATTGTAGGTGGCTCTGTCAGCCCAGCTGGTAGCTGGCTGAGAAAGGCACACGTTCATCATCTGCTCTGTCCCACCATTCTTCCCCTTTGCGCAACTTGTTTTAGCGTGATATGGGGTGATCTGAGTTTTTTATGGCAATCTTGCCCTGTTGGGCAGCTCTGGGGTGATGATCCAGGGAGTTTTGACCTGTAGTGGACCCTGGGGCTCTTTTGGACCTCTGCTGGCTGCTACTTGCATGTGGAGGTGGATGTAGTTGTTCTTGTGAAGATCCATTCCCTGCCCCCATTAGGAAATTACGCTGGTGGCCTCCCCTATTCAGGCGGTGCTGGAACTCCCTGATTATATATTTTGCTGGGCAGGGACACTCAGCAGGGCTGGCCCTTTTTGGTGTCCTCAGTCCAGCTTATTCGACTGTGGGTTGTTGTTATGCTGCGTGCCTGGTTGCCTTTGTCTATAAGAAAGAGGACGTTGGACATGTCCTTTCAGGGATCCTCCTGGTTGCTGATGGGAAAATTCCCCTCTTTTTTGGACCCTCTGGACCATGCGGCGGCTTCAGATGCCTGTAATATGTTTACCATTGCCTGGTCGGCGTTACGGCCTGTGTTGGGTTTGGCCATGGTGCCTCAGATGCTTACCACATGGGCCTAGCTTCTGAGGCTGGGTTTGAACTTCTGATATGTGAATCAGGGGTGTTTGTGGCTGTAGCAGGCCAGTTGGTCCAGGACCTGGCATGTGTGGCTGTTGGTTCTATAGCTGCTGCTTCCTTCCATTACTATCTCTTTGTTTGGGCAGTGGTGCTTGGTAGGGATTTTGGCTCATGTGCTGGCTGTGGACCAGACTCCTGCAAGGCCCTTTTGGACCTTGTTACATTAACCACCAGCTACTACTAACATGACTAGTAACTGTGTTCTATTTTATTTCATTAAGCTACTAATGTTCTTCAGTAAATACAGCAAAAGTCAAAAGGCCCCTTTTACTTTAATGCCCAATTTTAGTCTGTAGCAATCCCCTTTAATACATTTTTTTTTTTTAGATAGTTTCAGTCTTGTCAAGTAATACAGGGAGGTCCTTTCTATTCCATCTCTAAGTGCTGCAGAGAATAACATTCCCGTAATAAGCACTGTTCCCTGCATCACTCTTCTGTAAGCCCAAGGCAGTTTGGTATCACATTCCCCAGTGGCAGGTCCTTGATGTCCTGGATTCATGTGAAGTCGGTTGAATGATGTTGGGCGTCATTCAACTGGAATCCAGACCCTGGATATTATTATTCCTACAACCAGCTGTAGAACCTCAAAGGGTTAATTGTAGCCTGCCTAGCGGTCTGATTATGTCAGTATTTCTGTGCTCAAAGCGGTACATTTTTTGCATGGAAATATGTAGTTTTTTTATTGTAGGCTTGTCATTTTTAGGAATAACTCACTGAAATCTGTCCGAACAAGAGTCTAGTAAACATCCCGGGTATGTTAAAATTTTAAACACGAAATCATAAAATATAATTTAATAAATAATCATAAAAAATAATAAATTTAATTCAATAATATAATCAAACCAAAGACACTGAAATTTGAAATAGAGCGCCAAGTTCGCACATCACTGAGCAAAGTCGCAAAATTGTTTTCAGTGTCTGATTACAAATTTCCCCACGAATCATTATCACTCAATGCTGCAAGTAGTTCTAATTTACTATCGCTGTTCTCTAGCTGGTCTAAAACCGCTTTTGACCTAAAGGGACGTTTTTTGGACGCCATGGACATTTCTTATTTTGCAGACAGAAAGAACGGTAAACATGCAGGCAGGGCACAGGACAAAGCACTCGGGACAAAATGTATGTGAAATGCTTTGATACAGTAATGTTTTACTATGTGATTTTAGTGTATTTAGTGAATGTCACTTTTTCACATTTTTAAATTTCCCGCCGTTCCGTCCCCGCACATCCTGACGTCACAGGGAACGGAACCCGGAAGACGGATGCCGGCATCGGCTGGAGGACATTTCCGGGGATTGGTGCTGAAACTTTACCCCAAGCTACACTCGGGAATACCTCCAGGGAGGTTAAATCTGAGTAAGGGTAGGGAAAATCCTCTTAGTACTATCATCATAAATTCTAACCTACTTCACCTAAAAGTGAAAATAGGTTTAGGATGGAGTTACCCTTTATTGAGGGAGATAGGAAACACATACAAAATTATTTGTTTGACATGGCTTAATGTATTAAATTATGTTACCAATATGCTGTGTCTTCAAATACTTATAATTGTTTTGGACATTTTATAAATTATATGCTCGATTTCCACAATAATCCAACACAAGCTGCTTATACAGTAAATATATAACTTTCTGCTTTTCTATCCACAGCTTGGTGCAACGGCACAGCTACTAACCAACCGAGGTGTTATCCACCAGTTCATGGGGAAGTTGCCCAATGCCATGAGAGATTATCAATCAGCAATTGCAGCCAATCCAAAATACTCACTGGCTTATTTCAATGCAGCTAATCTATATCTTCACAACCGTCAGTTCTCACAGGTAATGACTCCAAATTAAACTGTTAAAGGACTTTAATAAAACCTTGGTTGTTAACCAAACTGGTTTATTTTGAGAATTTTGCAATTCACTAATGAAGGATTAGTGAAAAAATTACCTGATGAAGTTGTCGTATGCTTGATTCACCCAACATGCACCATATATTTCTTGACTATTTATCTGTCTTATATAGCATATTTCCTAGCATTTGGATTTGCTTTTGTTTTCACAGTGTATCAGTACTCCAATAAAAAGACAGTTGAGTTCCTTCAGAGCACGGTTATACTCTTCAAAGTACCTTTGCTCTGTCCCAGGATCCCAAGTCATCTTTACAGAAGGCCCAGCATAGGCAGTTCTCCACCAAGTCATACAGTGCAACATGCATGCTTCTCCGTTTGTTGCCAAGACAATTGCATTGCATTGTTGCATGTGCTGTCTCCAGAAAATCAGGAAACTGGTTCTTAGGAATTGAAGACTCCCAGTAGAGGCATGTTAAAACTACTGTGGTCTGCAGGCACTGAACCTTACATGTTAAAAAAAAAAAAGGAATGCTCATGCCTTTATTTCCCTATACACAGTGTTCCATTTAATGATGATTTCTTTTAGACCAGCCAGTGTAATGAAGATTGCCTGTAATATTTACAACTGGCAAATTCATTGAATTCCATTGATTTCATAGGAAGACCCACACTGTTCTTTTACCAAAGTGTACATACACCATACATTTTCCCTAGATTTACTACCCCAAACCTTAATTTTGATTTTTTCCTGCAACATTCACAACAAAGCTTTATAAGCTTTATAAATGAAGTGTATTCACATTCACATGCAAGCAAATCAAGGCAATTCAATTCATCTGGATTTGTCAAGCTTTTACAAAACACTAGCAAAGTGTGTCTTGATTTTAGCACAGTTTTCTTTGCACTGTGTTTTTGTGCACTTTTATTTAGGACGTGTGTGACGGAGCGTAGACAGGGCAGAACACACAGAGCAGATAATAAACACACAAAGCTTTATTTAATTATGACAGTCACTCAATTTGGGTCTGAACGTAGCGTCCAAGTACCCGGGGCAGGGGAAGAGCAGGGATGGGGCCCAAAACAATTGTAATCCGGCCCCAGGAAGGGCGAACTTGGAGTCTCTGGTAAATTGTAGTCCAGGCAGGGAAGGATAAGGGGGGGAAAGTTCACGGACAGTCCGTACAAGGGGGGAAAACAGGGGCACAGACACTCACAGTTCCGGCAGGGGTTTCTCCTGGCTCACAGCAGCCGACAACAGGGGGCGACACTTCTCAGCACACAGCAGAGGGTCCACACAGTGGGTAATAGTCCTGATTCTCCAGCACACAGCAACACGGGCAATCCTGGCCCCACAGTATTAGGCAGGGTAGCAGCGGGCGCTCCTCCTGAGCCCCAAGTATTAGCAGAGTGTTCAGCGGGTAATAATCCTGAGTCTCCTTGAGTATTATGCAGAGTGCTCAGTGGGTAATAGTCCTGGTATCCCTGGAGTATTATGCAGAGTGGCAGCGGGTAATAGTCCCGGTATTCCTGGAGTATTATGCAGAGTGGCAGCAGGTAATAGTCCCGGTATTCCTGGAGTATTATGCAGAGTGGCTGCGGGGGTCTCGCCTCAGCGCAGACCTCCCAGCAGCTTCACAGCGGATGGAGCACACCCCGGAGAGTCCTGTGCCTGCCTGCTTAAGGCCGACGCTTCTGCTTGCCCTGGCTACGTTTGGCCCAGCACTGCATTGTCCGGGCAACGAGGCACGCCCCCTTGACACAGGCCATGCTCTCGAGAGCGCAGCCTTTGTCTCCGGTGGGTGCAGGGCCCGCGGGGGGGCGCGTGGCTACAGGTCGGCGGCCCCGTGCCGGAACCCCCGGTGGGGGTCCTGGCTATATGACTGAGAGAGGTGTGAGTCCCGCCGCAGGGGTCACTTTTCTCCCATCCTGCGCAGCCTGTCTTCAAAGGCTGAGTCAGGATGTGAGGAGGTGACAAGAGGCAGGGGGGAGAGGTGACACTTCTCATCCTCTGCAGTCTAACTTCAAATGCTGCGACAGGAGGAGAAGAGGGTGAGGGGACACTGGGAAGACACAGGCACGAGGGGGGGGGCGGGGGGGGTTTGCAGACGAGGAGCAGGTACTCTGTGACAACGTGTTAGTCCTATTATGTTGAATACATTATTTATGTGCACTTGGTGACTATTGTTCAAGTTGTATTTCATCACAATTGCACTTAATTTGGTCTGGGTTCAGGCCTTTACATTTTTATGTATTTATTTCAGGTACTTATATAGCGCTGTCAATTTACGCAGCGCTTTACACATATATATTGTACATTCACATCAGTCCCTAACCCTCAAGGGGTGTACAATCTAAGGTCCCTAACTTACATTCATACATACACATATTAGGGCCAATTTATACAGGAGCCAATTAACCTACCAGCATGTCTTTGGAGTGTGGGAGGAAACCGGAGCACCCGGAGAAAACCCACGCAGCCACAGGGAGAACATGCAAACTCCAGGCAGGTGGTGCCGTGGCTGGGATTCGAACCAACAACCCTAATACTGCCAGGCGGAAGTGCTAACCATTTAGCCACTGTGCTGCCCCTATGTATTATTTTTGTTCACTTGCTGTTTATTACTCACGTTGTCTTTGTTACAGTCCATATTGGACCTAATTAGGTCTGGATTCAGGCCTTTAAACTTATCACCTGTTTTGTGGTTATATTTCTGTCTCCCCATTCTTCGAATTATTGTATCCTTAGTACTATTGATATTAGCGCAACACCGTATTATTTGTTTTGTTTCCTTGCTAGTGGTGTCTAGGTCTAGGTGTTTGCAGCTTTTTTCAATAGTCCTATCTATACCTATAGCAGCGCAGAAGGTTTTTTCTATTATACTCAGGCAAATACCTTGCCTTATTTCTGAACTCTAGCCTGAATGCTGGCCACAGCAAATTTAATTAACACCTGCCAGAGGCTGGTTTTAATCACTTCCTGTCCGCTCTATAGCAGAAGTACTGCTACAGGGTGGCACAAGTGCGCAAGATCACGTGTATATATATGTGATTTTGCATTTCCTGGTAGGGGGCGCGCCCGGTGATTGCTGAGCAACGCCAATGGGAAGGAGACCTGTTTGTAAACATTAGTTCCCTCCCCTGTCAGCTCCTGCACATTGCTTTGCGAAGCAGTGTGCTTACAGTGAAGCACTAACACAGGACACAGTGTAAAACGACACAGAGTTAAACCTTTGATTGCCCCACATGTTAACCCCTTCCTGCCCAGTGCTATTAGTACAGTGTCAGTGCTTTTTATTTAGCACTGATCACTGTATTGGTGTCACTGGGGATGTCAGTGACACCAAGTCAGTTCCCCCCAGTGTCAGAATGCCGCCGCAGTCCTGCTATAAATCGCTGATCGCCACCATTAGTAGAAAAAATAAATACAAAGAATCCCAGTATATATACTGCCTTTTTGTAAATGTTATAATTTTTTGGCTTTTTAAATAAATGCCTTTTTTTTAGCCAAGACATGTAGCAGAATACATGTTGGCCTAAATTTATGAAGAAATTTTATTTTTTAAATTTTTTTACTGGACACATTTAATAGAAAAAAGTCAAAAATATTGTATTTTTCTCAAAATTGTTGGCCTTTTTTTATAGCGCAAAAAAAATAAAAAAAACCGCATAGGCGATCAAATACCACTGAAAGAAAGCTCTATTTGTGGGGAAAAAAGGACTTAAATTTCATTTGGGTGCAGCGTTGCATGACCGCACAATTGTCAGTTAAAGTAACGTAGTGCCGTAGCGCAAAAGATGGCCTGGTCAGGAAGGGGGGAAAATCTTCAGGAGGGCAATAGATTACTATACTAACAATATACTGTATATATTATATTGTATTATTGTATTATATTATGCTAAAATATGTAATGTTGGTATGGTATTCATTTCTAACATGCCTTCACTATACATTTTGTAAGTTCATTAATATATCCCTCTGTTTTTGATGGCCCTTGGCAGTGGTGGAGGGCTTCACCACATTTGGCTTTCAGTAATACTGCTTTCCATCCACCCACTATCTGTCGACCCCTCAATTTGGGCTGTGTGTGTGTTTGTGTGTGTGTGGGGGGGGGGGGGGGGGGGGGGGGGGGGGGGTGGATTGGTGGCTGGCTAATTCTGGCTAATAAGGTTGTGAATTTTGCCATTAAAAAAATACTAATAGAAAAGGTAAAAAAAATGTAGAAAATAAAACTACAAAAAAGGAAATAGTTAAACCATACAATTTTATTAGAAATCTAAAACTAATAACCCATTTTCTTTTTGCCAATAGGGAGACATTGCATAAAATATTATTCTCATGCATATGCAAAATCCTGTTCCCACATAGAAAAGAATAACATTCCTTTTAAAATTCTCAACATTCCTAGTCAGAGGGTAAATCTGCTTAGGAAATTATATTTATCCAAACATCTAAAGTATATATGGTCCATGTAGAGGCTCATACAGCAACCAACCAGAGTGATGGGTGATCACTTGTCTACACTTCATAGTTGGGCTGGGGAACTTACTTCATAAGTAGGTATCACAGTTTTGAGGCACTTTTGCTCAATCTGTATAGATACAGTTGTGCTAAAAAGTTTGCATACCCTTGGAGAATAAGTAATATACAGTACCTTTTTAAAGAAAACATGAGTGAGCAGGCAAAACACATTTCTTTTATTTTTCTTGGGACTCATATTTAACTGCAAGTGATAACAGAAAGGCACAATCATAAAACAAAACATGGCAACATTTAAACAACTTTCTTGGTCTACCTGAGCTTTGCTTGGTATCAAGAGATCACTGAATTTTCCACTTCTAAATAAGTGATTGAACAGTACTGACTGGCATATTTAAGGCTTTGGATATCTTTTTATATCCTTTTTCATTTTTATAAAGTTCCATTACCTTCTGCAGGTCTTTTGACCTTTTCTGTTCCCCATGGCTCAGTATCTAGCCTGCTCAGTACATGCTTGTGAGACTTAACAAACTCATTGACTATTTATACACAGACACGAATTGCAATTTGAAAAGCCACAGACGTGGGAACTTAACCTTTACGTGCCATTTAACCTGTGTGTTGCCTTGTGTTTCTGTGCCAAGGCCAAACATTCCAGGGTATGTAAACTTTAGATCAGGGCTATTTGGATGATTTCTGTTATTATGATTTAAAAAGGAGCTAAACAACTATGTGATAATAAATGTCTCCATATGATCAATATCTTTAAATAAAAGACAGTTTTTTGGCATGATCAGTCATTTTTTTCAATATCAGTGCCAACATTTCATGATTTCTGCCAGGGTATCAAACTTTTCAGCATAACTGTACACATGTAAGCAGGTTATAATGCTAGGTTTAGTAGGTTAGCGGCTGGCCCAGGGTAGGGGGAAAGTGTTAAGTTATTTGTGCTCAGTTCCTGGGCTTTTGAGTCAAATGCAGCTCACCTGTGATAAAATAAAAGTGGACGTTTCTTGCTCTTGGTTCAAGTCGTAGGAGGGGCCTCTGTGCCTTGCAGTCCACTGAAGATATTGGGATTCAATAGGACAGCCAGCAATGGAGACTACCTGCATGGACTATAATCTCACAGAGGTATGCTTGGGCAGCCACACACCTTTAGTTAGGATTAGGGAATGGGACCTGTTCATGTTGGACTGTAATGTTGAAGTTTCTCTAGTACCAATACATTAAATGTTCTGAGCCTGGTCTGAAGTTATTTGGAAGGGTGCATGTTGGTAATGGTGTATCTGAAGAACCAAGGTCTGGTAAAGCACATTTAAGGTATGAAGCTACATTACACAAACAGGGGTTTAACTCAGCAAGTCAAGGAAGAGTAATGCTATTGCTAAGAGTAACCAAGCACAGTTTCAAGACAAGAAACAACCAGTCGTAGGCATGGTACCTGGTATGGTGGCAGGTCTTCCAGTAGCAAGGGGACGTTGTTTGCTTCCCTCCCAAGCGGTCCATCTCCCATATCAACCAAGATCAGACCAGCATTACACAAGTCCATGACCTTGTCACAGGGTACGGGAAGCGAAGCTATGCCATGCTATGTGCTTGGCAGGACCCCATTCTGTTACTGGGAGTTAGGTAACAGAGGTACGCTAGGCTGCTGGAGTGGGCGCAGGCTCAGCACGTCCCTGCTAATGCAACCACTACCAAAGTTACAGCGTGTAGTGATATGGGCACCATCTTTTCAGAGGAAATTTTGTAATTTTTCTGTACACATTGAAAGCTCATCTCTAAGTTGGGGAACAGCCTTAATGTTATATTTTTCACATGTATGCAGTCTCCGCCTGGTCCTGGGTATTGATGGCCGTGCTCCGAACGAAAGGGTACCCCCGAGAATATTACCCTGCCCACACACATTCAGTCCATTGGGCCCTTCAGCTACCTACAATTTTCCATGCCTATATACTAGTGCAGGTTGGTTGTTGTCTGAGCCATTACATGACTATACGCTTTAAATATTCAACTTCAATAAACTTAATGATTTTATGTCCTTGATGGTGGCGCTGAATCTCCATAAATGTCATAAAAATTTAATTTTTTGCCTAAAGAATTATTATTGGTTTTCTATGCATAGACAAGGTTTTGCTACTGCATGAAAAAAAATATTTGACGCAATTATTAATGAAGAGAATATGGGTAACTATTTTCTCTAATAAAAGAACTGTATATCTTTTAAGTTTGTCCTTTATTGTGGCTATGACTTTCTAAAAGTTTTTGCAATGATTCAATTTCAACAATAAAAATCTAACAGAGGTTCTAACAGTTCCCGTTCTAACCACCAAAAATGTTTGGGCTTTAGATACACTTAAAATATCCACAAAATCCCCCAAAAATCAATTTGTCATCACTTTGGAGCAGCTAGAAAAATAAATGATTGGTTGTAATAGTTAATTTGTAGATTGTATTTGCATTATTCAGAAAGCCTGAATATCACTTCAAGACAGAGCTCTTTGGCAGTCTTCCAGCAAACTTACATAGTTTTAGCTAACTGACTTTAATATTTCATAGTATTTATAATAATTTCCAGTGATATATTTTGAGTTATATTCATTAAAGATTTTCTGTACAAGAGAGTATTCGCCTATCGTGAATAATTCCTTAGAGCTGTTTTATATTTTAACATACATCTTCTTTTTGTCAGTCAGTGATAAGAGATTTGAAGGGGGCTGGCATTGCCCACACACATCTGTTTTATGTTTAACTAATTTGTAAAATCAATTATTCTCTTCCATTTTTGTGCTACTTGAATAATTTAACAGTGAGATGGTTCTCTATCAGTCATCCTTGGCTCATTTGTTTTAACACAATTCAAAGATTTATTATGTGTATTTTGCAGGCAAAAGAATACTACTCTCGAGCCATGGAGCTAGATCCCAGCAATGAATCAGCCACTCTGAACAGAGGCATTACTAACATGCTTTTACAAGATGTGCAAGGAGCTCTTCAAGACTTCCACGTGGTCATTGATCTGTGCCCAGTATCCTCCGCTGCATACTTCAATCGTGCTAGCCTATATAAAACTTTACAGCAGTATGAAGAAGCTGAGAGTGACATATCTCAGGGTAAGCCCATTCCTTATTAATTGCTAGTTAATTATTGTTCCTCAACCACAAAAAGCATGGCCTTACATACAGTTGCAAGAAAAAGTATGTGAACCCCTTGGGATTACGTGGAGTTTTGCATGAATTGGGCATAAAATGTGCTCTGAACGTCATCTAAGTCACAACAATAGAAGAACACAGTCTGCTGAACATAATACTACACAAACATTAGATGTTGCCATGGTTTAATTGCACATAACATGTAAACATTCACAGTGCAGGGAGGAAAAAGCATGTGAGGCCCTAGCTTAATGACTTCTCCCAGAGCTAATTGGAGCCAGGAGTGAGCCAACCTTGACTCCAATCAGTGTGATGATATTGGATGTGTTGCTGACAGCTGTCCTGCCCTTAAAAAACACACACCTGTTTTGGGTTTACTGGTTTCAAGAAGCACTGTCTGATGTGAACCATGCCTCGCAGAAAAGAGCTCTCAGAAGACCTACGATCAAGAATTGTTGACTTGCATGAAGCTGGAAAGGGTTACAAAAGTATCTCCAAAAGCCTTGATGTTCATGTGTCCACAGTAAGACAGACTGTCTACAAATGGAGAAAGTTTAGCACTGTTGCTACTCTCCCTAGGCATGGTCGTCCTGTAAAAATGACTGCAAGAGCACAGCGCAGAATGCTGCATGAGGTAAAGAAGAATCCCAGAGTGTCAGCTAAAGACCTACAGAAATCTCTGGCACATGCTAACATTTTTGTTGACACATCTACAATAAGGAAAACATTAAACAAGAATGGAGTACATGTGAGGACACCACGGAGGAAGCCATTGCTGTCCAAAAAGAAGATTGCAGCACGTTTGAAATTTGCAAAAGAACACCTGGATGTTCCACAGCACTACTGGCAAAATATACTGTGGACAGATGAAACCAAGATTGAGTTGTTTGGGAAGAACACACAGCACTATGTGTGGAGAAAAAAAGGCACAGCACACCAACATCAAAACCTCATCCCCATTGTAAAACATGGTGGAGGGAGCATCATGGTTTGGGGCTGCTTTGCTGCCTCAGGGCCTGGACGGATTGTTGTCATTGATGGGAAAATGAATTCCAGAGTTTATCAAGACATTTTTGCAGGAAAACGTACGACCATCTGTCCGCCAACTGAAGCTACGCAGAGGATGGGTGATGCAACAGGACAATGACCCAAAGCATACAAGTAATTCAACAAAACAATGGCTGCAACAGCACAGAATACGCCTTCTGGAGTGGCCCAGTCAGAGTCCTGACCTCAACCCGATTGAAATGCTGTGGCATGACCTTAAGAGAGCGATTCACACCAGACATCCCAAGAATATTGCTACACTGAAACAGTTTTGTGAAGAGGAGTGGTCCAAAATGACTCCAGATCATTGTGCAGGTCTGATCTGCAACTACAGGAAACGTTTGGTTGAGGTTATTAATGCCAAAGGAGGGTCAACCAGTTATTAAGTCCAAAGGTTCACATACTTTTTCCTCCCTGCACTGTGAATGTTTACATGTTATGTGCAATTAAACCATGGCAACATCTAATGTTTGTGTAGTATTATGTTCAGCAGACTGTGTTCTTCTATTGTTGTGACTTAGATGACGTTCAGAGCACATTTTATGCCCAATTCATGCAAAACTCCACGTAATCCCAAGGGGTTCACATACTTTTTCTTGCAACTGTAGCTGTCTGAGCCAATCAGAAAAATGGTCTGGAAGTTGGAATGCCCTGTGTGGGGTGGATGCCAGTGAGGGCAACACTCCCCCAACTTGGTTTTTCATTCAGTGCAGTTCACAGGATATTGAGTAAAAGATTTAGGTGTAGGGGGTAGCAGAACCAGGAATGTATCAAGCGAGAGCTCATTAGTGGGGTCATCATGGAACAAAATACAGCAATTGAACTTTTCCATGCTAAACAATAGCAGATCCCTTCAAATACAAGGCTAAAACATTTTCTGTCTCATAAAGACTTGGCAGTGTGCTCTCAGGATACTTAAAGTACAACTTGAGATTTATTATTAAAGCGGAGCGCCACCCAAAAGGGGAAGTTCAGCTTTAAGGCTTCATCCCCCCCAGAAGCAGAAGTTCTCCTCCCCCCCTCCGCCCCCTGCAGTCCTTTGTGAATGGTCCCACAGTTCTCTGGGACCTGTCACGTGTCCCAATGTGCAGTGCTGCATGTGCAGTGGGCACCCAGCTGTGAAGCCGCAAGCTGTCACAGCCAGGTGCCCACACTTGAGATGCTGGCGCTAGGGACACAGGACAGTCGATGAAACCGGCTGTGGTGAGGACACCGCTGAATCGAGGGACAGGTGAGTGGCTGTTTTTTAAAAGTCAGCAGCTACAATTTTTATTTTTTTCAGCAGAGACTAGAGCTCTGCTTAAATTACAAGAACCCAGTAACCCTGGCCCTCCTCAACTAATCTACCTAACCCCCCCCATCCCAGCTGCTTACTTACTTTGCTGTCCACGTTGCATTTTCATCCTTGCTTGTGCAGTGAACCCTTACAGACTTGTATAGGACCATCTTTTTAGAAACTTCAGTTTCTTCATTCAACATTAAACAATTCTATGAGTGCTCACTGCACTTATACATGAGCAGAGGGGTTGTCTACTTATAAAGAGAAAATAAAGGAAAGCTGTAGTGGGAGACAGATGCATTGCTGACTTCTCACTTTACATTGCTGTACCTGGTTTTTATGTTTACTCCGAGACTTTACACTCCTACATGCTTGTTTTGGCTCAGTGACTCAGTATTGAAACCAGATACGACCAGACAAATATAATTTCCAGAGAGGGTCAGCAGTGGCAGTTGGCATAATGCTTTCAGTATAGGTTTCATTTAAAGGGTTTATATAGTGGTTTGGTACATTCATTCTTTATTTATTATAGTCAGGATAAAAAAACATTAAAAAAACGTTTTTTAAATATTTTTTGTTTTAAAGTCTGGTAAGTATAAAATATTTTTTTTTCATCCAGAAGGAGCTTTGTACTTCTTATCCCTTTACAGGTTGTTGAAAAACACCTGTTACCCACAGACTTTCACAGCTCAATCTGAATTTTACACACAGCTTACAGAACAAGCAGTGCCGCCAAGCAGGCAGTTACTGCTGGGCTCTTTGATAACCCATAGTGCCCTAGCAACCCTTTGTCATGTATTAAATGTTTATTTGTAAGACAATGAGTGTGTACTTAAAAAATATATATAAAATAACAGTTTAAAATGTTTAAACTTAAAAAATAAGAACCTGTTGGAAAAAAACACTAAATAAAGACAAGTGACATAATTGAATTAATATAATTAAAGTGTTATTAAACCCAATACCCTGCATTCACTATATCTGGTCTCCTACAGTACTCAGAATATGGAAAGGCAATGATTTTAGTAAATATTAACTGCTAAATACTTTTTCTTATCAGCTGTTAGAGCAGACTTGTGACTGCTATCAGTGCCCTGCAGAGCACTGTTTAAAGCTTGTAGGAGGAGTTTACATTCTGCCCTGATTGTCCTATGAGGCTGCAAAACCCTTGATCCTCTGTCTGGACAGCGCTGATTGGCCCTGTGCTGATCACATGCACCCTCAGAAGAAAAAAAAAACTCTCTAGCAATACACACCAAACTGAGCATGTGCAGCTTGCCCCCACGGCTCTGTTTTATCAGCAGATGGATTGGGGACAGTAGAAGAAGGAAAGGATCAGAAAAGACAGGATCAAATATCCTTTTTACACAATGCGGAGGATTAACCCCTTAGGCTCCACAATGAGTATAACAAGCATGCTTTACTGCATATACAGACTGATTTTGCTGTTGTGGGTTTAGCAACACTTTATTACATTCTTTACAGGTATGAGCAGCATTAAGTTACCAGGATGAAATATTTTAAGACAACTATTTAAACCCTCCTCACTATTGTAATTTGTGGTTCACAGCTATGTTTCTTCAACCGGGAGATCCCCTGATGTTTAAACTGCGAGCAGATATCAGAGGAAAAATGGGAATGACTAAAGAAGCCATTGAAGATTATGAGCAAGCAATATACTTCCTGCAGCAAAGTGAAAAGGCTCATTAGTACTACGACTGATAAAATGACAGTATGCGAGAGCTGTGTTCCTATCTCTCCGTGCAAAGAGCCCATCAAGCCCTAAATTGTAACTTTTATTCCAACTCAAATAAAAATAATACAAGTTGGCCAAAACAGAATCATGGTCCTACTGGTGGGTGTAAGGAGTAAAAAATATATAAAGAGAAGGAGCGCTCAAAATTAAACCTCCATAAAAGGAGATAGATATACCGTATTTGCCGGCGTATAAGACGACTTTTTACCCCTTGAAAATCTTCTCAAAAGTCGGGGGCCGTCTTATACGCCAGTATACGGCATACTGACACTTTATAGGGGGGTGGCGTGGTGCCGCCACCGCCCCCCCCCTTCCAACGGAAGGGACACTAAGTAGAGGGGTGGGCAGGGGCTGTTTCTTACCTGGCTCCGGTCCCACGACGATCCGGTCCAGGAAGCGCGGCTGCTCCTTCAGTTCGGCCACTGGATGTTCACGCGGCTGCTCGGCTCCGCCTCCTCACCGGTGATTGGCAGTTAGAACTGTAGCTCAGGAAAGGCACACAGGCGTCCAATCACCGGCGAGGGAGCGGAGCCAAGCGGCCCCGCGAAAATCGAGTGCAGGAGCAGCAGGTAAGTGTTCAGTGTAGAGGTGCTGCTGCTGCAAACCACATATGCTGGCTGCAGCAGCACCATACTAGAACAGGGTCAGCAAGTGTAATTGGTGTCAGTGGGAGGAATAGTGCCCCATCATTGGTGTCACTGATACCAATGATGGGGCATTATTCCTCCCACTGACACCAATGATGGGGCACTATTCCTCCCACTGACACCAATGATGGGGCACTATTCCTACCCCCACTGACACAAACGATGGGGCACTATTCCCCCCCCACTGACACCAATGATGGGGCACTATTCCACCCCCCACTGACACCAATGATGGGACACCATTCCTCCCACTGGCACCAATGTTGGGACACTATTCCTCCCACTGACACCAATGATGGGGCACTATTCCCCCACTGATACTAATGATGGGGCACTATTCCTGCCACTGATACCAATGATGGGACACTATTCCTGCCACTGATACCAATGATGGGGCACCTATTCCCCCCACTGATACCAATGATGGGGCACTATTCCTCCCACTGACACCAATGATGGGGCACTATTCCTGCCACTGATACCAATGATGGGGCACCTATTCCCCCCACTGATACTAATGATGGGGCACTATTCCTGCCACTAATGCCAATGATGGGGCACTATTCCTGCCACTAATACCAATGATGGGGCACTATTCCTCCCACTGACACCAATGATGGGGCACTATTCCTCCCACTGACACCGATGATGGGGCACTATTCCTCCCACTGGTGTGCATTGGAAGAGGGGTAGTCTTATACGGCGAGTATAGCCCAAACACTACATTTTAGCAGGAAAAGTAGGGGGTCATCTAATACGTCCAGTCGTCTTATACGCCAGCAAATACGGTATATATATATATATATATATATATATTGTATTTTTTCCCAACTGGCCATACTAATCAATCCCACCCTAAGCTCATCTAACAACTTGTGCCCTGAATCTGCCAATAATATAAAGCCCATAAAATGGTAAAAACCCAGACCTTAAAAACTCAAAATTTATCACCCATAAAAGAGCTTAATCAGGAGTGAAAAATTGCCATAAATAAAATAATAAATGCTCAAACACAAATAATCAAAATACCATATGCATAATGGCGGCTGTCCTTTGTTTTCCTTATTTATGTATTTATAATGACACTTCTCATTTGAGTAAGACATGTGTGCACCCAGCAGTTCTATTGTGTGGTTGCTCTGCCAGCATTACTCATTATATCACTGGGGGCAAGCATCAATAGGACCCACCAGAGTTTTTTCATGCCGTACCACAGTACACCATCGAGAGCAAGCACCATCAGAATCCCCCAGACATTTTCTTGTTCAAATATTTTATTGATAAACAAAATGAACAAAGTTCACAGATAGTAAACCAAATAAGGTCAAACAACAAAGGCTCCTCGCAGGGAACTTAATCATGCAGTGGGTAGATAAATGGAGTAGGCAATACAAGGATTGACATCCAAAGAATTATATTCCCAACCCAAACTGCAAATTGCGAGAAACAACACTTTATAGGACGTTTCCAAAGCTACAACATTTTGTGACAATTTATGTGTGGCTTGCCAAATGTCAGTTCTGAATCCAGAGTGAGACTCAATCTGATGTCTATTAAGCCACGAGGGTTGAGGGGGAAACCGTTGGGTTAGAACAGAGGAGGATCCTATACAACTGTGAAATTACCCCTTTTGTATGTAGGTCAGTGAGGCATAGAACAATGCCCTCATGGACAAATCCAATGATGTGTGTGAGAATACATTTGATAAATGTCATATCTGCAGATAATAGAAGATTTGTAGTTTTGTAGTTTATAGTGTTCCTGCAGTAGGAGGAAAAGTTAACCAATCGGTAGTCTCATTAGTCAAGCTTGTGACCATGGATGAAGCAACGCTGGAGATATGTAAGTGGGATAAAATGGTGTGTTGCAAAGAAAAGAAAGCATGGGAGCATGTGAGGAGAGTAGGCCCAATTTATGTTTAGTCCTATCCCAAAGTAAAAGGGAATGCTGGGTCACGTGTTTGAACTGTACCCCAAAGAAAGTGTGAAACTTCAAGTTGCAATATTCTAAAAAAAAAATAAGGGATGGAGATGTTTAGGACCCTAAACAGGTAGAGAATGTTTGGCAATAACACTTGTTTTCTGCCAAGATCCATCCCATCCTGGATAAATGAAGTGGCGACCATTTAGCCATGAGGGTTTTTAGTTTAGCAAGCATTGAAGAATAGTTGACTCAGAACAATTGGTCCGGGTAGCCTGGAAGCTAAATACCTAAGTACTTTCAACTGTGGTCCAACCAGGAAAACTGTGGTTCCAAAAGGAAAGGATGCTCATAGAGTTCAACATTCCTGGTTTGACAACGTAACGTTCATTGTTTTCGATTTGACATGAGATTAACCTCTATGCTGGAAATCTGTAAGAGCTTAGGGGTGATAACAGATTCAGGATGGAAATGTGGGGGGAGGTGAAAAAGAGTATCATCATCTGCAGACATGCAGAATTTGTTGTGTTCTGGCTGCTTTCACACCCCATATGTCTTGATTTTCGTGGATGAGCTGGGCGAAGGGCTTGATGGCCAACGTGAACCGTAGGGGTGACAGAAGACAACCTTGTCAGGGGCCTCTGGTTATTGTAAACGTTAATGACCTGTAACACACGTAGAGTACATAGGCCCTAGGGCTTGCTTACATCTCTAGGACCCAGTGCAAAAGCCTTGTGGATCTCAAGCAAGAGAAGGTATGTTGGGATTCTATGTGAGTGTAATAGAAATATCTACGCAGGTTTTCTTGGGCTTGCCTATTGGGTATGAATCCAACTTGGTCTCTATGTACTAAGGAGCTACAAATGGTGTGGCAATACTTTCACCATATGTTTCACATCATGATAGAGAAGCCAACTGGGCGATAAGCGGACCAATGAATATCATCGGTTCCCGTGTTTGCAATCATTAATATGATTGTAATAAGCATTTTGGGATGGAACGCATGGCCCTTTAAAAGTGCATTAAACAAGTATGCCAAGAGGGGGGGCAGATGGCCTACCAGCCCATAGTACAAGAAGTTTGTAGAGTACCTACTCTACAAACTTCTTGTACTATGGGCAGGTAGGCCATCTGATCCTGGGCGTTTGCACTCATGGCCTTAATGGCACACAACACTTCAGTAGTCGTGATAGGCCTGTCCAATCTTCATTGTGTGACAGAAAGTGTGGGAGGCCTAGCCCTGCAAACAATAGGCCAGCCTGTTCCTGGTGAAAAGTTCCAGAAGCCAAGTAGAGGGATGCAAGGTTATGCTGACATTCCGTTAACATTTTAAGTGGGTTGCTGGAATGGATGCCATCTGTTGAGTCAGACAGGTTTCTGTGTCTAATCCAGGAGCTGAAGGACATTCGCTAGGTGCAAATCAGGCTTATTGGCTTTGACATAGTGCATATGTATCAAGCGGTGCATTGTTTTCTCGGCCTCCTCCACAAGAAGCAGGTCTAGTTCTGTTTTTTTTCCATGAGAACGCGATTGGCCATCATGGGGTTGTTTTGGAATTTAGAGTGGTGAGCCCAAAAGTGCACCACAACTGCAAAATGTAATAGAAGTCTATGGCAAAGTGCAGCTAATCTAGCAGAAAAAAAAAGACACAATACGCTCCTAATCTCTGCTAAATGCTACTAAAACGCTTCTAACAGCTTTTTTCTAGCTTCTTAATTTTTTTTCCTCTACATGTACTGTAAAAACACTAACAAACCACTAATACTCCTAAATGCTTATGAACGCTACTAAAACGCTAATAAAAAATGCTGTTACCGGTACCAGTGTTCTTTAGCCAGCATTTTTTAAGCTTAAAATGCTAGTGTGCATGGAACCATAATGAGCTTGGATAACGGCTTGTAGCAGATGTCGTTTTATTTTTAGTTTTTTTTTGGGAAGTGCATACAAAAATAAACAATTCTAAAAAAATGTGTCAATGCTTTTTTTTGTTCAAATCTTGTTGTATGACAATTTTAATAATAGGGTCCAAGTTGGGGTTGAGCAGTAAAAAGTCTATCTTCCGGTTGTGTGTCAAAGTGTGGAATAAAAGATCCACTCATTAGTCCAAGGCATTTACCAGATATAAGGCCCTTCATAGTATCTCATATTCAAAGCAATCATTATACACTATATACAATATGGGAAAAGAGCAGACAGGTGGTGCAAACACCTAGTGCATTATCCAATATTTATTCAAAGGTGTAAAAGACAAAACATACAAACATAGCATGTATAAAAAGCTTTGCATAATGGAGATGGCTCCATTGTAGCTTTGAGGAAAGGAATATGTCCCCAAAACATGTCAGCCACCTGACCACACTGACAGCCAGAACACCTTGCCTGCTGTT